CTTTGGAGGTAATCTGTCACCTTTCCAATCTCCCCTTTTATGACCAAGATTAAAACTCCCCGAATTTTGAATCCCATAACTTCTGACTCTACGTGTAATGTCAAAGACGGAGCACAGAGGCACTGCGGCGTTGTGTAAATCTCATTGTGCCTTGGCATCAGCTAAAAGCATTACACGATTTGAAACGAACTCAGTAAACTTACCTTCTTTGGTTTGTTACAAAATCTTGATCTGAACCAACTAAAGGACAAACAAAAGGAGAAAGGAATGACTTTAACAAATTCTACAAAAAAAACTAACATCATTCCAAGACCAAGCTGCAAAATCTTAACGATTTAAAAATGTTTTTCCTCACCACTCAAAGATGAATACTGTGCCACAGAGCACCACTATTCCCACAATCTTCATTGTAATTCGGCCACTTAACCCAGTCACTTGATCATCTGTGAAAAGAAAAAAAATGTACAAAATATTCAATTGCTGAGGAATTAGTGGCAGATGCCATATGGTTTTCAAAGTATTTTACAAATAACCATCTGAAAACTTTGTGTATTTGTACTAAGTCTGCTTGCTTTGTTTATTGTTTATTATTCCACTTGTTCCTTAAAATGTGCAACAGATTTTACTGTTTTATTTTGTTGTCTTGTTGACATCTTGTGTCTCAGACAAAATGGAGAGTAATGAGCTGGAGATCTGTAGTTAGACAGTTTGTCAAGTCCAGTGCCTCTGGCATGGCACAGACCCACGAGTGGTTGGGAGTTTGCTACATCAGAGTTTATTTGTCGAAAGTGTTTCCATCTACCCCTTAATGAACAAGCTCTTTTTCGGACAGCTAAAAACCACCTCAAACGACTGTGAAAGGTTTTTGCCAGATTTGAGGAAGTTATTTAAAATGTAGTCGTTTTCATTTAACTTTTTCTAATGCGATGCTTCAAAATGTGCTTAGAGAAACATTGAGAGAAAAACCACTATAGACATTTAAGTTATTTATCTTTCTTTAAAACTGAGATCTTTTCAAAACATTAAATCATTTGTTAGATCAACTGATATGAGAACATCAAGTCTTTTACCTGGCTCTTTTGAATAACACCATTTGGATGTCTGACGCCCCAGAATATTTTCAGCCTCACAGTAATAACTTCTCAGATCTGTCATGTTGGTCATCTGGAGTCTGTAAACCTGACCCACAGCAACTTTAACGGCTCCATGTTCGCTGTTCCTGAACCAGGTGAAGCTCCTGATCGGAGGTTTGGCTCTGCTGGAGCAGCTCAGCTCCACCCAGCTACCTGCTGACACCAAACTTGATGGACTGATGGATGCTGAGGTGTATTTAGGAGCATCTGAAGAAAAATGAGACACATGAACTTTATTGATCAGAAACAGCTGAACCATGACCTGCTGACAGGATCACTTACATGAAACACTGAGAGTCACTTCTGTCTCTGCTGTCTTGTTTCCTCCAATCACAGGATATCTGGCAGAACATCTGATGTTGTATCCATCATGTGTGTCTGACAGAGTGATGTTCTCCTGGATTTTAGTTGTAAAGGTTCCATCTGTGTTTTTCTCTGTTTGTCTGAGAGAGTCTTGTTGGAGATTCCAGGTGAGTTCAGGAGGTGAGTGTGGACAGGGAGTGAAAGCTGAGCAGGTTACAGTGACAGACTGATGCTCCTTCAGGTCACCGGCGGAAATATTAATGGTGGGAGTCCAAGGAGAATCTGGTGATTTCAAACAAACATGACGACTAAACAGGTGGATACAGGCAGAACTAATTATTTATGTAAGTAGAGATGGTCATGTATAGGCAGGTTGGTTGTTGTACAATACTCTTTCCATTTTTGGATGATGAATATTTTATAATGTAACCCTGGATTAAACCTTTATGGTGCTGTTTGTAGCATTAAAACATTTTTCATATGGATTTTATTATTTAAAAGTAAGTTTTGATATTAACAATGAGAAGTGTCACGGGCACAAACATATTCTGCTTTCTAAAAATTCTGCTTCTAACTTTTCAATGAAGGTATTATATACTGTGTAATTTTATTTTCTTACCTTCAACTTCGATTCGAATAGGGTTACAAGAGGCCGTGCTCATAAAGTGACCGTTCTCCATTCTGAAATAATACACGTCCATCTGATTTGCTCGTAAGTTGGAGAAGAGAGTGGTGCAGTCTCTCGCTCTCAGATTTCCCGCTATGTTCATTTGAAAGATGTTAACGGACTTGCTGCTGTTGAACACAACATTTTGTGGAGCCATGGCAAACCTCAGGTCACTTTTGATCCAGATTCCATAGATGGGGTTTTCATCTTCAAGCTCCTTCTCTGGTTTAATACCGAAATTACATGGGATGTGTAAACAGGATCCACTCAATGCCTTCATTGTTTGTAGTGATCTGATGAACAGCCGTGGTTTATGAGAACAAGTTTCCAAAGTCCCTGTAAAAACAGTCGGAATACAAATTTGGTGGGGAATGAGAAGACTAAACATGAACCACGTTTTGTGGAAAAACCTGCCTTGTTTTCGACATATAAGTGTAGCTCTTTGGTATGCCCCATATTTTGCACTTTGCATTTACGATTTGGTATTTAACTATTACCTTCCTTCACATGTCACTGAGTTCTGGAGAGACAACAGAAATGCTGATTTAATATAATTTGTTTAATATAAAATGTTTGAGTCCAAGTTTAGAATTGAAGTCAGATATTTACTTTACAGTTTGGTTGTTTTTTGACATTTTACTTTAAATAAGTCTAAATATTTCTGTTTACATTTAGGATTACTATAAATTCTTGTATTATATAGATTAGGTATGCTGTAGATCCTATTTTCTTTTACTTTTGTTTAAAAGTTAATTATGTAAACGTGAGTGTGCAGGTGCCCGTCCCTGATTGGTTCCCAGAAGACGACGGAGACGTCCAATTGGCGGTCTCCCGGAAGTGACGGATATAAAAGCCGCTGACGCGGACATCCTGCCGTCCATCTTCAGCTCATTTCTACCGGTCGCACTGTTTGCTAACACCTTGTGAAGTTGTTGGCGTAAGCTGCCGTTTATGTTTCCTTAGTTTTCTCATGTTTTTCTTAGAGAGGTAAGTTTTTGTCATTTGGTTTTATTTACTTTCAATTAGGTTTAATATTCAGATGTAGTTTCCTTTTGTTTGTTGTTTCCGCCATTATAGCTCACTCTGAAGCGATATGCTCCATTTCTTGTAACATCTCAATCAAAAATACATCTTTTTAAAATAAATAACAGTGTAAAATGATAGACTTTGTGTGTTGGCTGCTTGGGATCCGAAGAGGATGGATTCTTCATGTTGTGATCTGGCCGCCCCTAGACGGGTCATAACACTTTTTTCAAGAAACGTAAAGGAAGATGACTAAAGACGAGATAATTTTAACTGACTCGGTGACTCAAAAACTTGAGTCAATTTGGTGAGTGACTCGTTACGACTTGAGTCAGAAAAAAGAATAAAATTTCCGCTCTCTGGTGTCCACTTGTGTGTTGTCTTAATAAGCAAGTTAACATTTCTGACAGGAATAAAAGGTCACGGTTTGAGAAAATGCATCACTCTAGCTATAATTTTCAGCTATAGTTACCCATTATTGTTTTGACTGTTCATAACAGAAAGCTGACTTACAAAATCAAATTTGAATTAGAAAAAGGCTTATAAATTGCTGAAATAAGCATCTGATGGCTCAGGCTGAAAACTCAAAGCAAACCTTCGAAATATGGGAGGCATTGTTGAGTCACAGGAAGAGTGGGAAGATAAACACTAGAGACATAAATCTTGTGTAATCTATGACACAAAAACATCTATTTATGACAGCAGACAATATTTCTTGGAGCAGAATGGAATCTGAGAGCAAAAATTTGGGTTGGTACTTAAACCAATGCATATTTTTGAGCAAGCAGGAATTATTTAAGCATTTTAAGAGAGAGTAGAACAATCTGATAGAAACAGGGTATGCTGCTTTTGAACCGAAAATGTTTAATTGTGGTTCTTGGCGGGAAATGAGTGGGTAACAGAAAACATGTGGCTGCACCAAAGTTATCAATAGAGCTTAACTACAAATTATAAGTTCATATAAATTCCAAAGCTGTAGTTTGCACAAAACAAACGACAAATCTGGCTACAGAAAAATGTTACACGTTTGAGGATCAAATATTTTAGACTAGAAACGTCTCCAAATGAAAGGAAGTTAACAAAAACAAACACTCACCTGGGAGAAAGAAGAGACAAAGTAAGATGCTGACTGTCAGCAGATTTTCAGATAGAGCTGCCATCAGACTCTCAGACCTGAATCTCTGACTGAAAGCAAAATTAAAACAAGTGCAATACAATATTTCTTAAAATCAAAGCAGTTCTGAACATGAAAATGAACATTTTACTCCAGAAATTTAAGTGAAACAAAGTGCGAGTAGAAATATTAAACATTTTTATGATATGTAATGACAAATTCAAATATTGCAAAACAATTTTTTCTTACCAAAGATGAAAATTTCAACAAATAAGGTGTTTTTTTTATTTACAGTTATTGAGCCGATCACAGAGATGGAGTCTCACCTTCAGACCAGACGTCACTGGTTAAACGGACTGGTTGTGAATCGCCTTGCTTCCTTTTACTGTGAAACAGGAAGTATCTTTTTAAAGTAATTTAGCTGCATCGAGGTAAAATCTTTCTGCAGTCTGCTGTCAGTGGAACCACAGACTGAAAGCCAGAAGGTCACAGTGTAAACCACGGATTCAGCAGCATATAAACGTGAACTCCTCGACTCAGACAACAGGATATCATCTTCACTCAAAATGTAAACCATTTTTTGATTCATCTGAAATATTTTCACAGAACATCTCACCAAGATTAGAGAGTTATTGAAGCTCTCTATTTTGTTGGAGCGTTAATACAAATGAAGAAATCTTCACATAAAAGCAACATATGACGGGATCTTTTCAATCACATACACAGAATTTTTTTTATGGCAAGTCAAAGTATACAAGTGATGGGTGAGCGTGTGAAATATTTTGTACAGAGACACTTTGATATCTACACAAAAAGGGCTAGTAGAATAATTCACAAAACTGGTTTGACAGATCAACTAATACTGAAGTGAAATATATTTTATTTATAAAGTTTCTTTTACAGATAAAAACTCAGTTTCTCAGAGAGAATAGGAACATTAAAACATGGTTGAAAGAGCTATTTCAATTATACAAACAAAATAAAATCTAAAAGGTTTTTGTTCTGTTACTTGAGTATTGCTGAAGATGCTGCTATAAAAGATGGATCTGTGCAATTCAGTGCTTAGCTAATTTTGACAATGTTTCTGTCGTCACAATTTGAACACATTTTTTCCAAGGCTAAATAACTATCTTGATTTATACTTCAAAAATAATAATGAAAAAACATATAAAGTTTTTTTTTTTTTAAAAAAAGAAAAAAGGCTGGACTTTGTTTCATTTCTCCTTGTGGTTCATGATGTCTGAATCTCCATCACTCTGTTGACATCCTCATCTTCTGTTTCCTGTGGACATTGTACGTTGTACAGGTGCTGGTCAAAAATGAGAATATCATGAAAAAGTTTATTTAAATCAGTAATTCCATTCAAAAAGTGAAAGTTGTACATTACATTACATTAATTCGTTACACACAGACTGATGTATTTCAAATGCTTTTTTCTTTTAATGTCAATGATTATAGCTCACACAACTAATGAAAACCCCAAATTCAGTATCTCAGAAAATTGTCTAGCACCACCTAGTGTCCATCTCTCCCTGTGGATTTTTAATAAATCCGTCCCCAGCAGATGTAGCAGATAGAAATTACTCTCATCTCCCTTCTACTGCAGCAGTGAGTCGTCTGCTTTGCTGGTCCTTCTTGTGGTTTTTTGTAAATGTGATAAAGTTTCCACCACTGAATTGTAAGTAAGATGCTGAAAATAAACTGTTTACCAAAGGAGGGGCCAAGTTTTCCTGCCAGTGCTGTAAGGCTAGGCTTTTATTATCACTGTCTCTGATTTTCTTTTATCAAAGATCAACCAGGGAAAAAAATAAAAAAACACATTTTGATATTTTGCGTGGTGTGACTTAAAACAAATTCAGCAAACTTACCTTCTTTGGTTTGCCGGGAAATCTTGATCTAAACCAACTAAAAGGACAAGGAAAAGGAAGGAAGGAATGTGAGAATCCCAAAAACCAAGATCATCCAAAGACCAACCAGTCGACAGTTTCAAAGTATTAATTCATGAAATGTTGTTTTCCTCACCACTCAAAGACAAACACTGAACCACAGAGAATTACTATCCCCACAATCTTCACTGTGATGTGGCCACTTAACGCACTCACTTGATTATCTGCAACAAAAGGTTACCGTGTCAATGACAAGCTGTCCAGGAAGTTGTGACTCAACTGCTGCAAATGTCTTTTCATTGAGTCATATTCCAACCAAAAGCTTTAATGTATTTTACTTTGTTTGTGAGACAGGCCGACACAGCAGCAGTCCAATAATTGAGAAATTGGTGGAAATGTATATCTGGTTTTTAAAGTACTTTACTGATAAAAATCTGAAACGTTTGTCATGTATTTCCATTGGATCAACCGTCTTTTCTGGGTAGTTCACCAGCAGCTTTGCACGTTCAAAAAAAATCTATGTTTTCATCAATTCATGCTTGCAAAAGGAGCTCAAGCTAATTCAGACTGAAAGCAGAGCATTTGTGGACATCCACTTTCAACTCTTTCATACCAGACAATGCTCTGCTGTAATATCCTGACATCATGAAAGCCCTGAAAGCTGTGTTAGAAGACAGATAAGTTGGTCTCACTCACATTCAAGAACTCTTCGCTGAAGGGCATGACATTTAACATGATTTTCAAATAATTCAAGTATCTGTTTAGATCGACTGATGTACAGTATGAGAAAATCAATTCTGCTTTTACCGTGGTCTTTCAAATGACTCCATGTTGATGTCTGACTCCCCAGAGTATTTGTGGCCTCACAGAAATATCTTTCCATGTCTGTCATGTTGGTCATCTGGAGAATGTAAACCTGGCCCACAGCTGCTTTAGTGACTCCATGTTTGCTGTTCCTGAACCAGGTGAATCTGGGTGGAGGTTTGGCTCTGCTGGAGCAGTTCAGCTCCACCCAGCTACCTGCTGACACCAAACCTGATGGACTGATGGATGCTGAGGTGTCTTTAGGAGCATCTGAGGAAAATGAGACACATGAACTTTATTGATCACAAACAGCTGAACCATGACCTGCTGACAGGATCACTTACATGAAACACTGAGAGTCACTTCTGTCTCTGCTGTCTTGTTTCCTCCAATCACAGGATATCTGGCAGAACATCTGATGTTGTATCCATCATGTGTGTCTGACAGAGTGATGTTCTCCTGGATTTTAGTTGTAAAGGTTCCATCTGTGTTTTTCTCTGTTTGTCTGAGAGAGTCTTGTTGGAGATTCCAGGTGAGTTCAGGAGGTGAGTGTGGACAGGGAGTGAAAGCTGAGCAGGTTACAGTGACAGACTGATGCTCCTTCAGGTCAGAGGGAACATTAATGCTGGGACTCCAAGGAGAATCTGGAGTTTGAAAGTAAACATGATCACTAAACAGAAGGTACTACACACTAATTTGTTTATGGAACAAGGTCAATCCTCCTTCTGCCTTGCAAAAATATTTACACGTCTTTCACTTTTTTTTCTAATACCATACAACCACAAGAGTCAAAGTATATCACAAAAATTTTCTGTTACCATAAAATACAAAGATCTACGCTCTGCCATATTTTCAGAGTGTAATACAATACAATAGTTGAAATAAAATGATCCCCCCCCTTCTGGTGTTCATGGATTGGCCAAGATGAAATGAGAAATCAAGCTCTATGGGACAAATCCCAGACAGCACTCTGAAGGGAGATGAGAATCGAGCGGAATTATCATATCTTGCACTTTATCTATCGCATAAAAGTCCAATAAAATACGCTGATGTTTGTGATTGAAATATGAAGAAAGGTATAAAGTTTTAAATGTTATTGCCTTACCTTGAACTCCAATTTGAAGAGGATTACAGGAGGCTGTGCTCATAAAACGACCGTTCTCGATTCTGAAGAAATATGTGTTTGACTGATTTGCGTGTAAATTAGAGAAAATGGTGGTGCAGTCTCTCTCTCTCAGATTTCCAGCCATGTTCATTTGAAAGATGTTAACGGATTTACTGCTGTTGAATACAACATTTTGTGGAGCCTGTGCAAACCTCACATCATTTTTAATCCAGACTCCATAGATGGGTTTCCCTCCATCAAGATTTTCCTCCAGTTTAATTCTGAATTTGCATGGGATGTATAAACAGGTTGCACTCAGTGCCTTCATTGTTTGTGGCGATGAGATGAACAGCCGTGGTTCATGAGCACAATCAGCCAAAGTACCTAAAAACACAAGAGTCAAAATTCTATTTTAAAGAGGAATTTAAAGAGACAGTATCACTTTTTTCTGATGGCTCGGCTGAAAACTCAAAGTAAACCTTCTAGCTGTTGCTTCATGCCAGTATATGAACACAAAATGAGAGGGTCATAGAATATTTGACAGCACTAAAGTTAAAATAGGGTTTGTTTCGAAAATGTTAGTTCAGTTTTCAGATAAATCAAAATGTAGTTTGTTTTATTTTAACTAAGCTGAACCACAACTGTTTTTCAAACTTAGATGCTGCTTTAAACTCCACAAACGTTTGTATGTTATTCATTTAAAAGTGAAGTTGCTGTTGGCACCAAACAGACTCATGGTTCAGTTCGAATCAGTTTATTTTTAGAGCTCCATTTTGTCTCAAGCCACTTTGCAAAAGAAGAAATTTCAATGATGATGAGCATCATGTGGAGCCAAATCTGCCCGCAGAAAAAGTTCATGATAGCTGCAGCATGTTTCATTACACAATGTCAGGATCAAATATTTTAGACTAGAAATGGTTTCTCCAAGTGAAAGGGAGCTAACAAAAAACTCACCGGGGAAAAAGAAGACACTCAGTACCATGCTGAATGTTAGCATGTTCTCAGACAGAGCTGCCATCTCTCAGACTGGAAACAAGATTAAAACAATTGTAATAGAACATTTCTTTAAATCAAAGCAGTTCCCAACATGAAAATGAACATTTTAATCCAGAAATTTGAGAAGTAAAACAATGAATAAGTGAGCAGAAATAACAAATTTTTAAGATATATTATGACAAATTCAAAAATTGCAACATCAATATTTCCTTACCAAAGCTGAAAATTTCAACGAATCGGGCAGTTTATTATTTAAAGTTATTGAGCAGATCACAAAGCTAGAGTCTTGCCTTCAGACCAGATGTTACGGGTTAAATAGATTGGTTATGATCGGTTAAATAGATCTTCCTTCCTTATACTGTGAAACAGGAAGTATCTTTTTAAAGTAATTTAGCCGCACCTGCAAAAGTCTCACTACTGTACACTGTCAGTGGAACTGCAGATTTACTGCTTTAGTAGAGTATGTTATAGGAAATATATTTATTTACATTTCCTCAAGAAAATCTCCCCATGAAAAAATACAACTTGCTGCAAACTGTGCA